GGTGTAATATATATATATATATATATATATATATATATATATACACACACACACACATACAAAATATATATCTACACACACACACACACACACACACACACACACACACACACACACACACACACACACACACACACACACACACACACACACACACACACACACACACAAGTGATACTGTAGCTATATAAAATATATTGTATATACCACATATAAGACATATATATATACACTGTATAGCGATGCACTCTGTGCGTGCATATATTTATATACACACACGCGCACAAAGTGCATCGCTATACAGTGTATATATGTATAGATACACACACACACACACACACCCCATCTACAGTCACTCACATGCACCATAATTCTTACATATTTATATATTTACATACCTAAATAAATCTATCTACAAAACCATCCTTAATCCATTAAATTATTCATTTAAAAAAAAAAAAAAAAACCATTACATCTGCTATCAGAACCCATTTCTCATTGCAAAGGGACGTGCGGTCCATAATGGCTCTTTGTAGCAGGCATATCTATTAATTTGCTGGGAGAATGAAGTTGGTCGAACCACATGAAACAATTTCATAATGGAAATAATGCTGCTTAATCATGACTGTAAACTTAGGAGGGTCATGCACTAAGGGCAGCCACAGCTGGAGCTGAAATGTTAGTAACGACTTCAGAGGCAGAGGGAAAAGGAGCTCTAAAAGCCCCTGGCTATCAGCACAGCTCTATTTCGCTGTGATTTACTCAAATCAATACTAATAATATTGGCTACAGGTAAAACACTCCATGTCAGCATGTACGAGCGCTCCACAAAAACATACCAGCAAAATTAAATATAAATAAACAAACATAGCCTCCAAAAAGTCATATTTTTAAGTGCCATCTCTGTTGCAAAGCCATTTTTATACCAAAATTATGCTTACTGTCTATTCCTTAACTTCATTATTTATTGAAAAGTATTTACTATTTGTAGCAGACAAGAAAAAAAAAAATAAAGAACTCATATTGCAAGCTGTGTACGCAAAGGTTTATTTTGGCATGCCATCAAGACATGCTGCTGTACAGGAACCAGTTTGTTAAGTACTTAAAGAAACAAAAAACCCACCCAACTTACTGGAACCATTGAAATTAAGCACCCTATGGGGTCTCGTTCAAGGGCCAGGAGTGGCAGCTGCTTGCTGGCCCCGTCCTCCATGGACAGGCCCTGGCTTCTCTCCTGCCGGCCTAATCTTTTTCCAAGATCTCTGCAGCAAGCGCAGCAATCCCTTCTGGGGACAGAGGAAGAGCATTCAGCTTTGCAAGAGAAAATGTTGAAATGTTATGGAAAAGTAGACGTCCTCCTTGTCACTGCATGCAGAAAAGGTGCCCTCGGACAGGCTGGAGGTAGAAGGAGGATGACAAGGTCATCCTGAGCTTGCAGCACACACGAGTTGGGGCAGCCCTTGCTCCTCCAAGCACTGGCATCTGCAATGTGGTTTGGGGGCTGTGGGAATGGGCAGGGGGAGCTGGGGCCAGGTGAAGTTGGGAGCCCGGAGGGGACCAGGGGACAAGACGTGAGCTGGGCATTGCACAGGCACATGACGCTGCTCTGGAGCTCCAGCTGAGACAAAACCCCTGAAATTCAGCCCGGAACGCAGCAGGTATCGCCCTTTTCCAGGGCGGGGAGCAGAGCTACCTAGAAAGGCTTGCAGCACCGTGCGGCTAGAGGCAGACTCACGTTACAGGACCCAGCATTAGAGAGGGATCTAGGACAAGCTCTCCGTGTGCTCCGCGCTCCCTCCGTTGCATTAGAAACGAGGCGGAAGCGTGGCCTGACCCCCACGTCCGGGAGGCTCTTCCTGAAGCTTTGCACGAGTTCTCGGGGCAGTGCCGCTTGGGAGGCGCCTGCTCTGCGGCTTTGATCCAGGAGCAGCCTCTTCCCTCGCGCTGCACGGAGCTCCGCTCCGCCAGCCTGAGCCAGCTCCGCTTCCTCCTGCCGCACTGGAGGTCATCAAAGCCCTGTAGCCACCTCAAAACACGCAGCAATCGGAATTTGTATAACAGGATTTTTTTTGTTTCCATTTATTGCCATCTGTTATTCTGCAGCAGGACTTCTGTTTTACATTGCTGGTGTGGTGACAGGTACTACAGAAAATTACATCAGGGC